GCCACAGGAGAACATCCCATGTAGTGTGTGGCTGTAGCCCACTACTAGTGTTAATTAACTGACAGAAATGGTGGTGGATAAGATTATAACAACATGCAGCCCGACTCTATGGCTCATATCAGAGCAGCGAGAAATAAAATCTGTCAAAGAGATTTGTTTACAAAATTAATTCATGGACTTTTTAAGTTACAGGTATTTCTTTCTTTATGGCCCTTTATTTTTACCCTGCATGAGCTTCCATTTGGTCAAATTACTCCCATTAGGAGCATGCTGAAATAGCTATTAGCAGATCCTCTCTAATGCAGCCCATGGATTTATGGACGACTGTCGCTGGATTACTTTTCTAGGCCGCTAAAGAAAACTTGTAAATGTGCTGAGTCTTAGGTGGGGCCTAATGTCCTTTTTTAGTTTTTTATATAAGAGTTTACCTTTATTTGTTTGTCCTGTCAAATGTACATATCTATCAGTAAAGTTTAAAATTACCAGGGAGCACAGGGAGTATCTTATTCCCTGCCTCCCATATAAAATATTTATCCCACCCAGATGGATCTTTATAAACTATTTCGCTTTCCAGAAGACAAAAAAGTAAGTAGGAAGTTGAATATCTTTATGTCTTTCTGCCAACTTTGCAGTTTTAAAACCTTTTAGGTTTTTTCAAGTCTGAGACCACAGCATGCTTTGCATTAACTTACGCTAAGACAATAAAGCTGCTTTAAAGTCTTCTTTTGTTTAATATGTTTGAACTTCTCATTTCTTTTATGATCTCGTCTATACAAGCTTAAATTCTTATTCAAATTTAGCTGTGGTACATTATCCACATTCAACTCTTCAATCTAATTCCTTGACAGAACAGGATCATTCATGAAATGAAAAGGCTAGCCCACCGTCTGCTACTACTGTAGTAATGCTGTCACCTAATCTTACAATCACTTATGCTACATAGCCAAGTTACAGCTAGCTAGCTAAACTCCACACTAACATTAGTTTTATCAATGTGCAATTAATGACATCATAAATGTTATTACACATATAGCAAATAAACATGTTTACATTAAAATTTCTGATTTCTGTTAAAATGTGTCAAGAGGAAGATGAGAAAGACCTGGGCTACAAATACAGCAAAGCTCAGTGAGGCTATAAAGTAACCGCTCAGCAGCGACACAGGCTGACTGTCTCCAGGCCACGGCACACTGAAAGAGTCATTTGTGATAAAGGAGTCCCAAAAAAGTACTCAGAGTGTAATTGTCATCGTTACCTTTGTTAAATGAATTATGAAAAAACATTTCACAATATTTAAATGTCTTTGAGATGCACTGGTACTATTGCAAAGTTTAAACGAGGGCAGCTTACACAGAGGTCGGAAATGTTTTTAACATTTAATGTCCTGCTCAGTTCTGCTATCAGTCAGCGTCTGAACTGTCACATAAAGTAAATGGCAGCCACTTGCTGGCATTCATTGCCTTCAGTTTCAGTATGAATATCCATAAAGACAAACGTGCAGCTTTGTAAGATCAGCTTAAAGGAGGTTCGTTCTACAAAACCACTGCTTTGCCAAACAAACTGTCCTGTATGCAGAGTGTGGTGCTTCCCAACACTTTTGTGATGAAGCTGCAGACAGATGCTGGACCACAAATGCCACTGTGGTCAAATCAAATCGAGCTGTTCAGACAGCTTATAGAAACACTGGCAGCTGTTAACAGCAGCACACATG